TCGGAGCATTTCTGGCTGGGACTGCCTTGTTTCAGCACAGTGGCTTTTTTATGCTCTAAGAGCACTGCGCTTGTGATAACATTTTTTGGGGTTCTGAGAACATGTAGTGGTAGGCCTGTAGGAATGCCGGGACGGTCGGTCCCTGCTCAATTGGTCCGATTGAAATACGTACGGGAAGAATCGGCACGAAGACTGGCAGTTTGGGGGCCCCAGCAACGGCGTGCAGGGCTTGTTTGTTTCTCTTGCCTTTTCCACAAGAGGATCTGTGAAACACACACACACACACACACACACGCACCAAGCGATGTCTGCAACAGCTCGGACAAAACAAATGCTCCCGGAGTGTGACCAGGACGGGAACCAGAAAACAAGTTGCGACAGAACCGCGAAACTACAGTGGAGACCAATGCCGAGAACCACCCTGCTTGCCCCCAGAGTGCCCTGGGTCTCTTCGGTTTCGATGGTTTTGCGATGGAAAGCGTGACGTCCCCACAACAAAAATCCAATTGGCCGATGTTTTGGAGGCCGCTGCATCCAGAGGCCCTGCTGGTCGTGGCGGGTGCTGCCCGCGCCGCCCTCGATGCAATGCGATGCGGCCCGGGTGCGGACCAACAGAATCTGTCCCTCCCGCCGTCAAGGGGGCGGGGGCGACGAACCGTACCGATTCCGATTCCAGTGGGGCCGAGTTGGGCCACTGCTTTTTTTGATCCGTCCCGTTTTTTTGTTCTTGGAAGGCGTGCTGTATTGTTGCAGCGTACGTGTCATCGTACTCCTCCTCTCCCGCCTCCGCCGTCTGCTGATTTCCTCTCTCTCCTACATTTCCTCTTCCTCCCCTCGAAGTCTGACAAAAAGGCTTCTGACAAAAATGCTCGAATGACTTCGGATTGTTTCGTTACACTCTGGTCATTGCGTCAACAATACAGTCGATGCTCTCAAGGTTTTGTCTGCTAGCTGTGGACCTGGCTGGTGCAAACGATACCGCGCCATCTAATTGCCGGCACCCGCGCTTGGCACGGCTCTGCGCAACTAGTCCATTCCGCCGCCCCCACACTCGCTTGCCACAGGGGTGCCTGTCGCTTTAAACCCTGTGCTGTTTGGTTCGCTCCCGGGGCCCATTCCCATTACGCACGACCGGCAGCAGTTGCTCCCTGTCCCTCCCGCCGTCAAGGAGGAGGAGGAGAGGAGGAGGAGGAGGAGGAGGAGGAGGAGGAGAGGAGGAGGAGGAGGAGGAGGAAGAGGAGGAGGAGGAGGAGGAAGAGGAGGAGGAGGAGGAAGAGGAAGAGGAATGGAGGCGCTCCCTTGCCTCCATTCTCCATTCGGCACAGGAGTCGCTGCCGGCGTGCTCGCAGGCGCTGCCTGTTCGGGACGGAGCGCCGCCTGCCCAACAGCGGCCACTGCTGGTGTTCGACAACAGTTGCTGCTGGGACTCTCGAGCTGGAGCACAAGTCGTTCAGGAGGAGAAAAAACACAGGCACAAGTCATCGTCGATTCCCCAGAAATTATGGGAAAAGATGGGCAGTGGGGGGGGGGAAGACGGAAACCCAGAAAATATGGGAAAATGTGGGGACTCGGTTTATTTGTGTGTATTTATTTGTGTGTCCCAGGGCCCCTTCAGTCATCGCTACGCGCGCGCGCGCGCGTCTTGCCGCCTCCCTGGGGCCACGAAGTCTGCTGCGTGCGCAGCTGGTTCTGGCCCCGTCCCGGGGGGGGCCCTCCACGACACCTGGGCGCCCCTAGCGGGAAAACCGGCTACACGAGCTGATTCACTACGCCCCCCTCCATTTTATTGCGCTCCATTCGTCCGCCTGGATCGTTGTCGTCATTTCTGGACGCCCGAAATGGGTACGGAAAGAATGGGTACAATGCCCCTCAGCAGTTCCTGCTCCTTTTGCACAGGACTCGCTGTCCGCGCCTCCGCGGCCTGTCTCCATTCGAGACAGAAGGCCGCCTGCCCAACAGCGGCCGCTGTTGGTTTGGGACAACATCTGTTGTTTGGCACTGTACCCATCTTTCATGAGGGAAACAAAAACACACAGACACAATTAATCGTCGATTCCCCAGGAAATATAGGAAAATATCGGAAGTGGGGGGGAAGACAGAAACCCAGAAAATATAGGAAAATATGGGGAATCTGTTTTTTTGTGTTGATTTTATTTGTGTGTCCTGGGGCCCCTTCAATCTTTTCCGTACCCATTACGGGCGTCCAAATCGTTGTCGTCGTCGCAGCCGCCGTCATGCTCGACTCGGAGAAGAGGAGCAAGCTACAGATCGTGAGCACAGGCCTCCGGAGGTCCGTGCGGAGGTCCTGGCTCGGCGCTGGGCCCCCGCTCCGCCCGTCCGCTCGCCCCGTCCCGTCCAGCCGCTGAGGGCCGCACGGGGGAAACTGGGCTGTCGAGGAGGTCGGGGGACGAAAAGATACGGATACGTGCTGTCCCCCTTCGTTTTCGGCCTTTCCTGGTCCTCCTGGGAGGTGTTCGGATACGTGTTCGGATACGTGTTCGCCCCCCAAGGAGGTGGCCCCGCTCGGAGGATCTCGAAGGACTGCTGGCCCAGGGGGGGGAGAAGCGATGCGGGTGTTTTTTGGGCCCTGGCGTCGCACTCGTGTTCTCCAATGCTGCGGTGCCGTCTTGTGTCGGGCCCCCCCGGGACCATTGCCGTGGGCGTGCAAGCCTCAGGGCAGGGGGGATGCAGAGGAGGGAGTCTGCAGAGGAGGCGGGGGATGGAAAGAGGGGATCCTTTCTGTGGGCAGGGCTGCCCGCCCCTGCCTCCTGAGCTGCTGTCTCCTTCTCCCCTGTTGCTGTCTTTTGGTTTGCGTGGAGATGCACGCCGCGGGGCATGTTGCGCTGGAGGCTCCCGGGGACAGAGGGGGCCGCCCCTCAGCGTCGAACTCTTGTGGAGAAGAACGCGAAGAACATCACGCACGTCCAAACTCAGCGAAGAGGATGCCATCGAACAAAACGATCCAGGATCCAATGCTCGCGAGAGAGAGACGAACAAAAAACAACGCGACGGCCGGCCTCTCCCGCTGGCCTCGCCGCCCCGCGCAGGCCGCCCCGCCGCCCCCCGGGGGCCGCCAGGCCCAGCACCCGCCCCCACGCGCGTGGGAGGCCGAGGGCCCCCTGGCAGGGGCTGGACCTGAGCGCTATGTCTGGCGCCGTCGCAGAAGCGCGCCCCCTGAGGCAGACGTCCTGGTGGCTCCCCTTACAGTGGCCCCCCCTGCGGTGGTGGCGCTCGTGGCGGGCGGCCCGCGGCGGAAGCGTCTACAGTGCCGTTTTTAATACATGCTCCGCGATCGGATCACGTATCAACAAATGCAGTGATTCAGTATCAAACACGACGATGAGTTCATGCATACATGCATTCATCAATTAATCATGTATTAAACATCCTATATCACAAATCCTATGTATTAAAAACTGCCCTGTACCCCCTCGATGTCGTCTATGCCCCCTTGATGCGGCCCCCGCTGCCGCCCCGGTGGGGGGGGGGCGCCGGGCCTGGCGCCCGCCCCCGGCGTGGGAGGCCGAGGGCCCCCCGGCAGGGGCTGGACCCGAGCGCCGTGTGGCCGGGCCTCGGCTGTGCGTGTTTTCTCTTCGCTTGGGCAGAACGAAACGAAATGCAAGACGGAATACAAAGCAAGACAAAAAACAGGAGATACGAGGCGAAACACAAGACGAGGCATACAGGAACAAAAATAGGTTGGAGCAGAACGAGACGCAAGACGAAATATAGAACGGGAAACAACGATCGGGTCCAGCCCCGATCCCCAGAGGGTGGGGGGTCCGCGCGGGTTTCTCGGATCGGCGCTGGGGCCTCCTGGCGGCGCCTCAGGCGCCGCCCCTGGCGCGCTCCGCGCCACAGGGAGGGGGGGAGTGTCCAGCGCGGATCCGAGAAATCCGCGCGGACCACCGAGTTCTTATGTTTATGCCATTTTTCGTTTCCCTAGTTTGAAGTCGGGCCCGTCCCTCTACAGGAGGAGTCTGATACTCAAAAGTACTATTAGAAGATAGTCTGGGGACGTCTTTTATGTATAAAGAAACTGACCATGTCTGACCATTTGGGGATTTTCTGATCCCCCCCCTTCTCTTGACTCGTTGCCCAAATCCCGCCTGTAGGGGGACACGCCCGACCGAACCCTGGTGTGGGTCCAGCCCTGCTCCCCAGAAGGGGGGGGGGGGGGGAAACGCACAGACACAATCAGTCGTCGATCCCCTAGGAAATATGGGAAAATATGGGAAGTGTGGGGGGAAGATAAACACACAGAAAATACGGGAAAATATGGGAAATAATGGGAAGTGTGGGGGGGAATACTGTTATGTCTGTGTGTGTGTATTTCTTTGTGTGTCCCAGGGCCCCTTCACTGATCACCAGAGGGGGGGGGGAGGCGGAGGCCGTTGTCGTGGGAGGGGCGGGCCGCCTCGCCTATAGAGCGACCCCCCCCCCCCCGACGCCGTGGCGCTGCACGCAGGCCTGTTGGACCCCCTCCAGGGGACCGCACCCCGGGCTCGGGCTCTCCACAAAGGCGCCCTCGAGGGCGCGAAGTTATCCGCGCTTTGCGCTTCGCGGTTCGGCTCCGATTCCTCCTCTTCCTCCTCTTCTCCCCTGGGAGGCGGCGCGAGAGCGCGAAGTTACTCGCGCTTCGCGCAGCGCGAAGCGCGAAGTTGGGAGCGCTTGTTTTCCCCGGGCGCATTCCACCGATCATCGGCCACGCGCAGAGGTCTGGAGGTCGAAAAAGGTCGGGTATAGCCAGGACCCCGGGTAAGGGGACCCGCTTGGTGGTAGGGCCCTGGGGCCCCTCAATTGGTTAGATTTACTAAACCAGCTTGCCGTAACTGGTGTTTTTCGGGTGACGGCAGTTCCGGTTAGTGGAAATGGGACGGGGGGGCGCCCCCGATACAAATCACTGAACCAGGTTCCATTAAACCCAGTTCTGCCAACGCCCGAAAAAGGGTGTGGCACGTAAGGGGGGATGGTGCCAATCGTGGAAGTGGCGATGCGATCTGCGGTTAAATGACATCGCCAGAGTCCCCTTTACACAAGATTAGCATCACACCCCTTTATGTCATGCCCTTTTCCAAGTAGGGAGGAGGGGGAAGGCTTCTTAGAAGCACCCCGGCTCCTTAGAAGGCGCGGGAATTTTCTGTAGATGGAAGGCCCGCGCCTTCTAAGAAGTAGCCGTCTCCGAAGAAGCCTTCCCCCCTTCCCCTGCCCCACACGCCGTGGGCCCCCAAAGGACCTCTCGACCCAATCCCCGGGACTGGCTCTCCACCCCGAGCTGTTTTTCTAGGCCTCCCAGATGGGGTCCGAGTGGACGGGTTCGCAGGATAACGCCGGGGGCGGTCCGTGCCGCCGTTGAGAGCCCGACGGGCCACGAGAGGCCCCGAGAGGTCGACGGGCCACGACAGAAACGCCGCCCGTCGTGCCTCTGCTTGCGCGGCTCGAGGGGGGCTGCCCGGAGCCGGCCGCGCGCCGCGGCGAGCGGAGGCCTCGGAGACGTCCTCGAGCGCCACGACCTCGACGGCCACCACGGCCACGGCCACCACGGCGTCGACCAGCGTGGCGCCCACCACCACGACGCCGTCCACGGCCAGCCCGACCCCCGCCGCCACCCTCACCGAGAGCCAGGCCTGGGCCTCATGCATCCCCCGCCCGTCCCCCCCCCCCCCCTTTGCCGCTCATCGGCCCGACCCCCCCCTCCGTCCGATGTGGATTGTGTGCGCACCACTGACCGGCGGAGGGACTGCTCCATCTCTGAGCGCCCCAGCAGCAGCACAGGTGTTGGGGAGTGACAGGAGGTCGGCTAGTGAAAACGGGCACCCCTACATGTATAGTTACATATATATAGATATATATCTATATGTATACACATATAGATGTACCAACGTATACATACATACATACATACATAGAACGGCGCACCGGGGCCCAGGCCCCAGGGGCCGCGACCTCTGCCACAAATGTGTTCGTGTGCGTGTGCGTGTGCGTGTGCGTGTGCGTGTGCGTGTGCGTGTGGTGTGTTGGTGTGTTGGTGTGTTGGTGTGTGTGAGTGTGTGTGTGTGTGTGTGTGTCTGTGTGCGCGTGTGTGTGTGTGTGTGTGTGTGTGTGTGTGTGTGTGTGCGTGTTTGTGTGTGGTGTGCGTGTGCGTGTGCGTGTGCTGTGCGTGTGCGTGGTGCGTGTGCGTGGTGCGTTTGCGGTGTCGTGCGTGGGGCGTGGGCGTGGGACGTGCATGGGCGTGGCGGTGGTGCGCGTGTTGCGTGTGTGGCGCGTGTGCGCGTGTGCGCGTGTGTCGCGTGTGCGCGTGTGCGCGTGTGCGCGTTTGCGCTGTGCGCGTGTGCGCTGTGTGTGCTGTGTGTGTGTGTGTGTTAGTGGTGTGGGTGGTGGGTGGGGTGTGGGTGGTGTGGGTGTGGTGTGGGTGTGGGTGTGTGCGGTGTGAGTGTGCGTGTGCTGCGCGTGCGCGTGCGCGTGCGTGTGCGTGGGCGTGTGCGCTGCGCGTGGCGTGAACGTGCTCGCGTGCGCGTGCGCGTCCGTGGCGCGTGCGGGGCGTGGGCGTGGCGTGGCGTGGGCGTGGGCGTGGGAGTGGGAGTGGGCGTGGGCGTGGGCCGTGGCGTTGGCTTGGGCGTGGGCGGGCGTGGGCGTGGGCGTGGGCGTGGGCGTGGGCGTGGGCGTGGGCGCGGGCGTGCGCGTGCGCGTGGGCGTGGGCGTGCGCGTACGCGTGCGCGTGCGCGTGCGCGTGTGTGCGTGTGCGTGTGCGTGTGCGTGTGCATGTGCGTGCGCGTGTGCGTGTGCGTGTGTGCGTGTGCGTGTGGTGTGTTGGTGTGTTGGTGTGTGCGTGTGTGCGTGTGTGCGTGTGTGCGTGTGTGCGTGTGTGCGTGTGTGCGTGTGTGCGTGTGTGCGTGTGTGAGTGTGTGCGTGTGTGCGTGTGTGCGTGTGTGCGTGTGTGCGTGTGTGCGTGTGTGCGTGTGTGCGTGTGTGCGTGTGTGCGTGTGTGCGTGTGTGCGTGTGTGCGTGTGTGCGTGTGTGCGTGTGTGGGTGTGTGCGTGTGTGCGTGTGTGGGTGTGTGCGTGTGTGCGTGTGTGCGTGTGTGCGTGTGTGCGTGTGTGCGTGTGTGCGTGTGTGCGTGTGTGCGTGTGTGCGTGTGTGCGTGTGTGCGTGTGTGCGTGTGTGCGTGTGTGCGTGTGTGCGTGTGTGCGTGTGCGTGTGCGTGTGCGTGTGCGTGTGCGTGTGCGTGTGCGTGCGCGTGTGCGTGTGTGCGTGTGCGTGCGTGTGTGCGTGTGCGTGGCGTGTGCCGGTGTGTGCGTGTGTGTGCGTGTGCGTGTGCGTGTGCGTGTGTGGCCGTGTGTGCGTGTGTGTGCGTGGTGTGCGTGCGTGTGTGTGCGGGCGCGGTGCGGTTTGTGTGTCGTGTGTGTGTGTGTCGTGTGTGTGTCGGGCGGGCGGCGCGCGCGCGGCGCGGCGCGCGGGCGCGCGGGCGCGCGGGCGGCGCGCGGGCGCGCGGGCGGGCGTGTGTGTGTGTGTGTGTGTGTGTCTGTGTGTCTGCGTGTCTGTGTGTCTGTGTGTCTGTGTGTTTGTGTGTCTGTTTGTCTGTGTGTCTGTCTGTGTGTCTGTGTGTCTGTGTGTCTGTGTGTCTGTGTGTCTGTTTGTCTGTGTGTGTGTGTGTGCAGGGGCCCGGCCGGACTTGGGGGCCCAAAGTCGCCTCCGAGGGCGATCCGGTGAGCGTCACGGCGGCCCCAGCCAGCCGCCAACCCTGAAGACGGTTTCGACTGATCACGGGACGTCTCCAACGGACCCAGAGGTTTCGAAGACGCTTCATAAACCGTGCAATTTGCCCCCATGAGGCCCCGAGAGGCAAACATAGCCCAATGCCTTCCGTAAAACGTACAATTTTTCCGTGTTCGTGTTTTTCGTCTTCGCACCATCCTTGACGACCTCAGGGCCCCTAAGATCGCCCCTGCACGGCCCAAGGCCCCCCACAGGGTGCCAAGACGGTCCAAGAGGGTCCCAGGCCTGTCCCAGAGGCACCCAAGTCGGCCCCAACGGCCTCACAGAGGGCTCCAAGAGGAGCCCAAGATGGGGCAATCCAATTCGAATTGCGAGCCCCACGCCCCAAGAGGACCTCCGAGACTCCCAAGAGGCCCCTAAGCAGCCAACAAGAGGCCTCCAAGACGTCACATAACCCGTGCAATTTGACCCCCCAGAGGCCCCGAGAGGCAAAAATTGCCCCATTCCCTTCGAAGAACGTGCGTTTTTACCGCATTCGTCGTTTTCATCTTCGTGCAGTCCTTGACAGCCTCGGGGGCCCCCACGATCGCCCCAACACGGCCCAAGAGACCCCCCAGAGGGCGCCAAGACGGCCCAAGAGGGTCCCAAGACAGTCCCAGAGGCAGCGGAGATGGCCCCAACGGCTTCCCAAATGGCCCCAAGAGGAGCCCGAGCTGGGGAAATCGGAATTGCGAGCCCCCCGCCCAAAGGGAACCCCCTGAAGCCCCTAGGAGGCCTCCAAGCAGCCTCCAAGAGGCTTCCAAGACGCCTCGCTACTCGTGCAATTCGTTCTCCAAGAGGACCCCGAGAGGCAACAATGGCCCCCTTCCTTTCGTAAGCCATCATTTTTACCATATTCGTGTTTGTTGATCTTCGTACCGTTCTTACCGACTTCAGGGCCTCCCAAGATCGCCCCAATACGGCCCAGGAGGCCCCTCAGGGGGCGCCAAGACGGCCCTAGAGGGCCCCAAGACGGTCCCAGGGGCACCCAAGACGGCCCAGATGGCCTCCCAAAGCGCCCCGAGTGGGTCCCAATATATTGGGGAATCCAATTGGAATTGCGAGCCTCCCGCCCCATGACCCCCAAGAAACTCCCGAAGGGCTCCCACGAGGCCCCCAGAGGCGCCCAAGAAGCCCCCAGTAGACCCCCCAAACGTCGCAAGCGGGCATCGACGACTGCCGACGACGGCCCCATAGCCCTATAGCCCTATAGCCATATAGCCTTATAGCCTTATAGCCCTATTGCCCTATCGCCGTAGAGCCCTATGGCTCTATAGCCCGATCGCCCTATAGCCCTATAGCCCGATATCCCTATAGTTCCATAGCCATGTAGCGTCATCGCCCTATAGCGCTATAGCTCTATATGCCTATAGCCCCATAGCCCTATATCTCTATATTTCCCTATAGCCCTATAGCCCTATGGTCCTATAGCCCTATAGCCCCATAGCCCTATCGAGTCATAACACGATTGCCCTATAGAGTCATACCAATATTGCACTATAGCCCCATAGCTCCATCGCCCCATAGCCCTATAGCCCTCCCTATATCCCTATTGCCCTGTCGCTCTCTATGCTCCTATAGCCCCATGGTCCTACAGAGTCATAACACTATTGCCCTGTAGCCCCATAGCCCAATAGCCCCGTAGCCCGGTAGCCCTAAAAAGAATTTGTTTGGGGCTTTCCTCCGGTTTCTTACATACATACATAGACGCATCTCTATATATGAAAGAGCGTGTTCTACCGCTGCTGGCGGAAAACCGGGGGGGGTCACTACCGGTTCGAACCCCTCCCCCCCCCCCTCCGGAAAACCGGGGGGGGTCACTACCGGTTCGAACCCCCCCCCCCCCCCCCAAGCTCATCATGAAAAGGGGGGGGGGTCACTACCGGTTCGAACCCCCCCCCCCCCCCCCCTCGAAAACCGAGTGGGGGTGCGGACAGAGGTGGGGACGGTGTTGGTGGGACAGTGGTGAGGGGACAGCGGGACAGTGGTGGGGACAGTGGGACAGTGGGACAGTGGTGGGGACGGTAGTGGTGGGGACAGTGGTGGGGACAATGGTGGGAACAGGGGGGGACAGTGGACAGTGGTGGTGACGGTGGTGGTGGGGACAGTGGTGTGGGGACAATGGGAATGAGGTGGAAACAGTGGGACAGTGGAGGGTACAATGGTGGTGGGGACAGTGGTGAAGGCGGTGGCGAGGACGGCGGTGGGACAATGGGACAGAGGTACAGTGGGGACAGTGGTGGGGACAGTGGGGACAGTGGTGGGAACAGTGGGACAGCTCAGTGGGACAGCGGAGGAGTCAGTGGGACAGTGGGGACAGTGGGGATAGTCGGGCAGTGGTTGGGGCCGTGGAGACAGTGGGGAGAGTGGAACCGTGGTGGGAACAGTTCTGGGGACAGCGGGGACAGTGCGACAGTGGTGGGGCCACTGGTGGGGACAGTAGGGGCGGTGGTGGAACCAGTGGGGACAGCGGTGGTGAGGACAGTGGTGCTGGGAACACCAGTGGGGGATGTGATGCGGACGGTGGTGGGGACCGGGAGTCGTTTGCTGGCGGTGAGTAGGGGGGGGGGGGGGGGGGGGGGGGGGGGGGGGTTCGAACCGGTAGTGACCCCCCCCGGTTTTCCGGATCCGAAGGGGGGGGGGGGGGGGAGGGGTTCGAACCGGTAGTGACCCCCCCCCGGTTTTCGAGCGGGAGGGGGGGGGGGGGGGGGGGGGAGGGGTTAGGGGAGGGGGGTTTTTGCGGGGAGGGGGGGGGGGGGGGGGGGGGGGGGGGGGGGTTTTAGGGGGGGAGGGGGGGGGGGGCGACCCCCGGGTTCCGGAGGAAAAGGTTGGCAATTTTCCACAGTAAAGCGGCGGTGGATCACGCTCTC